TTATTACTGACATTTTTAACATCACTCACAGGAGAGTCAACACACCCACCATCGTCTATGTGCCTAAAAAGTCTGCAGAGACTAGTCTGAGCGACTACCGACCTGTGGCTCTCACCCCCATTCTGATGAAGTGCTTTGAGAAACTGGTTCTTCAGCATGTAAAGAACATCCCAGCAAGCCTGGACCCTCACCAGTTTGCTTTCAGAACCAACAGATCCATCTCCACTGAGCCCTCACACAGCTTAAAAAAAACCACACCTACATCAGAATGCTATTTGTGGATTTCAGTTCAGCATTGAACACAATCTCCCCCATGAAACAGACTGGCAAACTTCTCACTCTGGGCTTTAGTGCTGGAGGTCATACTCTGCAACTTGATATTGGACTTCATCACAAACAGACCCCAGATCGTTCAGACAGTAGGTCACACCTCCTCCATTCTAGTGCTCAACACCGGAGCCCACCAGGGCTGTGTGCTCAGCCCCCTCCTGTTTACGCTGTACACCCACGACTGCATCCCCCGACATGGAGAGAGCTCGGTGTGAAGTTTGCGGACTTTAAACAAGGTCAGGAGGTGATTAAAACCGCTCAGAAGATCATTGGTATCCATCTACCAAGCATCGGTGATATCGGTGAGGTGACGTGCCTATGCAGAGCCCAAAGGATACTAAAAGACAGCACCCACCTCGGCCACAACCTGTTCACCCTGCTGCTGTCTGGTAGGAGGTACAGAAGTGTCAGCTACCACTAGACTGCATAATATATAATCCGTTTCACATGCTGTTGTGCAAATGGAATAGACAACAGGTAGAAATTATAGGCAATTGGCAAGACACCCCCAATAAAGGAGTGGTTCTGCAGGTGGTGACCACAGACCACTTCTCAGTTCCTATGCTTCCTGGCTGATGTTTTGGTCACTTTTGAATGCTGGCGGTGCTTTCGCTCTAGTGGTAGCATGAGACGGAGTCTACAACCCACACAAGTGGCTCAGGTAGTGCAGCTCATCCAGGATGGCACATCAGTGCGAGCTGTGGCAAGAAGGTTTGCTGTGTCTGTCAGCGTAGTGTCCAGAGCATGGAGGCGCTACCAGGGGACAGGCCAGTACATCAGGAGACGTGGAGGAGGCCGTAGGAGGGCAACAACCCAGCAGCAGGACCGCTACCTCCGCCTTTGTGCAAGGAGGAGCAGGAGGAGCACTGCCAGAGCCCTGCTAAATGACCTCCAGCAGTGTGTCTGCTCAAACGGTCAGAAACAAACTCCATGAGGGTAGTATGATGGCCCGACGTCCACAGGTGGGGGTTGTGAATACAGCCCAACACCGTGCAGGATGTTTGGCATTTGCCAGAGAACACCAAGATTGGCAAATCCGCCACTGGCGCCCTGTGCTCTTCACAGATGAAAACGTGTGACAGACGAGACAGAGTCTGGAGACGCCGTGGAGAACGTTCTGCTGCCTGCAACATCCTCCAGCATGACCGGTTTGGCGGTGGGTCAGCAATGGTGTGGGGTGGCATTTCTTTGGGGGGCCACACAGCCCTCCATGTGCTCGCCAGAGGTAGCCTGACTGCCATTAGGTACCGAGATGAGATCCTCAGACCCCTTGTGAGACCATATGCTGGTGCGGTTGGCCCTGGGTTCCTCCTAATGCAACACAATGCTAGAGCTCATGTGGCTGGAGTGTGTCAGCAGTTCCTGCAAGAGGAAGGCATTGATGCTATGGACCGGCCCGCATGTTCCCCAGACCTGAATCCAATTGAGCACATCTGGGACATCATGTCTCGCTCCATCCACCAACGCCACGTTGCACCACAGACTGTCCAGGAGTTGGCGGATGCTTTAGTCCAGGTCTGGGAGGAGATCCCTCAGGAGACCATCCGCCACCTCATCAGGAGCATGCCCAGGCGTTGTAGGGAGGTCATACAGGCACGTGGAGGCCACACACACTACTGAGCCTCATTTTGACTTGTTTTAAGGACATTACATCAAAGTTGGATCGGCCTGTAGTGTGGTTTACCACTTTGATTTTGAGTGCGACTCCCAAATCCAGACCTCCATGGGTTGATAACTTTGTGATTATGTTGTCAGCACATTCAACTATGTAAAGAAAGGAGTATTTAATAAGATTATTTCATTCATTCAGATCTAGGATGTGGTGTTTTAGTGTTCCCTTTATTCTTTTGAGCAGTGTATATAACGTTTGTTTTTGTGATTGGCATAAAGGAACTACAACTGAATCTCGTTATACAACCCTGTGGTGTAAAATGATCTACCTTGTGAATGCTCTGTCTGTCTTGCTCTATCCTAATGTCACTGTAACGCACGCACGTGCACGCTGTGGATCATGTGATGTATTTAGCTGAATCCAGTCGGGGAGTTAAACATTGACTGTCTCTGGCCTGAGATTTTATCATGTGTTAAACAACACACTTCCTGGAACTGGTCATCCCTTGTGTGGTTTTACTGTAGTAGTGTGTGGAGACTACACGGGACTTCTCAGGACGTCGGGAGTCTCGCCTCTTTCTATGAATTTAACTGTCGTAACAGTATAACTATCAGTGTGCCTGTACATATCATCAGTTGTTTTTGTGTCCCACCCTGGTAAACAAGATGGAGCATCTCAACAACTGGGGGAAAAACAGGAAGTTTACTGGCCCCAGTCGGAGTATGTGCTGTGTGTGTGTGTGTGTGTGTGTGTGTGTGTGTGTGTGTGGCCTCACTGTTTTTTTTTTTTTTTTTTTTTTGTTTTTTTTTGCCTACAGTATATTTGTTTACCATATCGCTCAGTTCACATCTTTGTTTCCATAGTTGCAGCTCTTTGAACTGTAGGCAGATGGTACTGATGGAGAGGCCTATGGACTGCCTTGGGCCCTTTGAGCACACATACAGAGGTCATGTCCTTTGCTAGCTGTTTCATATCTTGACATTTTGAGCCACAACGCTTGAGTTTTTAGGTTTACTAGATAAGTCTTTAGAGAAGCTTGATGCACCAAACCCATATTTGAATGAGGTGATGCTATCCATCCGCGACAGAGCCTAACTGCGTTCATGGACTCTGTAAGTCACTATTAGTTCGGAAGTGAATAGTTGACATTCTACAAGTTTAAATCAACATTATATAGTAATTGTATCTTTAAATAAGTGCTTCAAAATCATTTTGATGGTACACTGACTTGTAATAGGGAGAAAGGTGTCTGTCATTGCCACTACGGGGCTGGAGCGCCGGTTATTGCACTATGTAACATTGAAATCCTGGGCAGGAAACCTATCACGGCGTAATGCTTTACGGCACCACGTCACACAAAAAATACTCTTCAACTCTAGTTAAAAGAAGAAGCTAGCTCTGTATTGTCAGTATGGATCTCATGGCAGACATGTACAGCTGTCCTTATATACCACAGCGGAGAATTACACTGTAGGGATGCCAGATCTCAAAAAACACCAAATCTTACAGAATGTTGCTTTTAATTGCATTGCAGATATGAGCAGGGCTGTGTGCTGACTTTACTTTGTTTTACATTTGACTATTTTAAAAACCTTTCATGCTAGAGTTGATCTCAGTGTATCTCAGAATTAACAGTAATGAGATGAACCATTATGCAACCATTATTTTCTATATCACTGTTTGATGATTACTTTATTTGATACACTGTTTTGTCTATAAAATGTCAGAAAATAGAGATGATGGCACCTTAAAATCCCTCTTGTCCCTCAGTCCGAAGAGATTCATGTTTTTAGCATATTATATATATATTTGAGTGTTCTTTCTTTTTAAAAGATTACATTTGTTTCGTGAGTTTAACCTAGAGCTTATTTAATCTATACAGGTAACATCTAGTGAATGCTTAAAACAAGGAAAGCATAAACACTGACAGACATATATAGTAATAAATTGTTCTGATATATTTTGCTAAGTTAATACATTAACAATAAATTCTGCTATATGCTCCATAATAGTTTGGTCCCAGATTTCTTAGAGGACGAGATTTCTCGACTGCAACATTAGTTGCATTAGAGAGTTCCTTTTGCCATTTCAGATTGTATCTGTAAATCTTTTATTTTGAGTGATGAAAGGATTCAACACCATAGGTGTGATTGGTATTTGTTTTTTCACCATACAGCCTTTTGCTTCCTCTCACTGAAAAATAAAGCTTCTTTATTTGGCTTTTCAACCACTTCAGGCTACAGTGAATATGTCACTGTCAGCGGTTGTTACACGCAATAATTGTCCTTGTTAGAGCTGATAAACATGACTAAAAATGGGAATCATACACTGTTGTTTTCCACTCAGTGTTCAACATACTTTGCTCTAATAAATCTGCTTGTTTCAGAGTTAACTGTTTTTAGTTATCTGTCTTTCCAGAATTAAAAATGCCCGCCAAATGAATATTCTTGTCCAAGCAATTATCCCTTGTGAATTTTTTTTTTTTTTTTTTTTTTTAAATGATCTGCACAGTGGCCTTAAGTGGAAGGGAAAAATTAGGTATGATTAAAAGAGGAAGCAGAGGGAATAGAAGGTAAGAAAAGAGGGACAGTGACGAGGGGTCAGAAAGGGCACTTTGCTTTGTGTGCTCTGTACTTTCTGTTGTCTTATCTCGGATGACGAGGCAGCTGGGGCGTGTTCAGTGTATAATCTCAAACTTACAGAGTAAAACCCACCTTGTTTTATTTTCACTGTTAAATCAATCTCTTTTCACCACTTTATGTATTGTTTCTTAAACTAGTTCTTTACCTTTGTCACCTGACTCTTAGTGTTCTCTCTCTCTCTCTCTCTCTCTCTCTCTCTCTCTCTCTCTCTCTCTCTCTCTCTCTCTCTCTCTCTCTCTCTCTCTCTCTCTCTCTCTCTCTCTCTCTCTCTCTCTCTCTCTCTCTCTCTCTCTCTCTCTCTCTCTCTCTCTCTCTCTCTCTCTCTCTCTCTCTCTCTCTCTCTCTCTCTCTCTCTCTCTCTCTCAGAGAAACCACATCCCCTTAAAGTATTTTTGTTCTGTCCTCTCATCTATCAGATGCAGTGTCCCAGCCGCTATCCAGACACCCCCACCAAGGAGCAGAGGCACAGGAACTAAGAGACTTTAGGAAACAGCAGGTAAAACCTGTGTGTGTGTGTGGAGGCCGGGGGGGGCGTGCTCTATCTTGTAATTATTGTGACCTACTTTACCTGCAATGCTCTGTGTGTGTGTGTGTGTGTAAGTTGAAGAGAAATGGAGTGCTGACTTGGCTGGATGGGAGAGTAGGCCTCGTCCTGACAGGCGGGGAATGCGTGGACATGCTTTGAGATCAGTCTTACACCACCTCTGTTACACTCTTAATGCACTCAATGCATCATTTTTATCATTCATGTATTATATTCTCCTAATTGAACAGTACAACAAAATAACAATTGTTGACTTGTAAATCTCAACTTAAACATTAATGTAATCAAATATAAAACCAAAGAGGTTTGAACAGGTATGAGCAGAAACATTTTTCTTTTATCAGGGAGCAGCAGAAACAGTCTGTGTTCAGTAGCAAGTGTCGAGTGAGGTGAAGTTGCCGAAGTTGAATTATCTTGAACTTTTTGGACGCGACACGCAGCACAAATCATTGAAGAGAGGCTGATCCTTGCTGTTTCAGTTTCCAGTAGGGTACAGTGGGGTAAGACGCGTAAAAGTGTCTATCCAGTGTCTAAATAACTAACTTACATAGATCAACCATAAAGGGGCACGGTGACCGGGGGGCATCTTACCCCACACATACTAATGTAGAGTTTTACTACTCCAACCAAAAACTATAAAAAAATCTTTCTTTCTAAACAATGAGAGATTATACCTTTATTTAAAATGACAAAAAAATTATATGAACTTAGGTCAAAATGGCTTTGATCAAATAATTTAAAAAAATTGTGATGAAACAGGAAATTTTTAGTTCAGTGAGACGAGGAGCACCCACAAGAAATGTTGAGGAAAAAGTAGTGACATTTTGTGTTTTTGGTTAGTTGTGATTTTAAGAATGTTCCTAAGGCCAACATCTTCCCCAATACTAATCAGCATGCAGTGTGTAGCTGTCCACTTCACTATGGCATTTCATCGCTTGTCTTGCTTTTGTTTATCTACTTCAACCCACACGCTGCATCCAGCGTAGTCTGCTGAAGCCTCCTTTTGCTGCTTGTTTGGGTGGGTGATTTGCAGGCTGATTAACAACCCACCCCTCCTGTGATCCATGGTTTGACTGTATGTGTATTCAGAACCAGTGAGCAACGGAACGATCACACTCACACTCTCTCACTGTAGTTTCCCAGTGAGCTGATGAGCAGGCCTTTTTTTAGAGCAGATGTTGAGATTGGATGAATGGTAATGTAAAATTAACCATTAAAGTACTGAACTGTGGCACTCTCAGTACTACTGACCCAATTTTTTGTGTGTGAGTCTGCTGCTTATGAAGTTCAGAATAGTTCATTAGTTTGTCTTCACTCACCATATGCTCTCCTGTTCCTTTACCTTCTAAACATACAAGAGCTGAACAGTTATTAATTCATGATAATGCAGATGATGTAGTAATTTTTAAATTTCAAATCTCAATCCCCCCCCCCCCCCCCCCCCCCCCCCCGTTTTGTGCCATTGTGATAGTAAACAGAATATTTTTTAAGGTTAGAGTGTTGGTTAGATAAAACAAGCAGTTTTTCATTGTTGGCTTTAACTTATAGGCCAATGGATTAATAAACAAAAATGATGGATAATTCAATAATGAAATTATTATTAGTTGCAGGTATATGTACATAGTACGGCTGAGCGATATGACAAAAATGAATATCCCAATATAGGTCATTATATAGAGATATAGATATATATCGAGAGAGAGAGAGAGAGAATTGTTTGTAAATTCAATGAAATGACATTTCCAACTGGAAAAATGGATATATCTCTGCATTATAAAGGTGCGGTAAGTTATAAATATATTACTATAATGTTAGGGAGGTTGTGGATTAGCAAACTGACCCTACTTGCTGCTGTAAAGCTAACAGCATGTCTTGGTGAACTATAAATATGTTCGTGGTCAAGTCATTAAACGTTACCTGACTGAGCCACACATCATGGCTCGCACTGCTATATTTCATCCAAATTTCTTCCCTGCAACACCGGCACATGTGGAAGAATGGACTGCGGTGAAGTTAGTTTCAAGTTGGATATTAGTTTTACGTTTTACATTCGATAGAAGTCCAACTTCAGACTACTTCACCATGGTGCATAGTGCCGTTCCCTCACCAAATTATTACGGTGAAGTGTGGAATTTGCGAACAAACGATAGATATTGTCATATCGCACAGCCCTAGTACATAGGCATATTGCATTATTTCCTGCTGTTCACCATGATGGCATGTGTGCCAGCTGCAGAAACCCACAGAGTAAAAACTCTTTACTTCCTCCTCCTCTCACATGCAGTGCTTTATAAATGCTGCAGTACAGGTGCAGCATTGTCATCCATCAGCATAAAAATCAGCATTTCCTGCTGTCAGTCTGTGCCGGTGGCCAATAATCAGCATGGAGGCCTCACACCTGTGCTCTGTTTGTCTCCCCCTGTACTTCACTCCTACTCAAATGTGGAAAAATAGCTTGATCCCATTATTCATGCTATGTTCAGTCTCCGGCGATCTTCTCACTGACACCACGTATTATCACCACAGAGCAGAGTGAGGTTTAATGGCACTGTAAGATCATCGCTTAGCTTCTCATAAGACAAATGAGGAAGGTCTGGGCTGACTGTTAGTTTTTCCCAGAAATGACCTCTTGAGTGTTCTCTTTCTTGCTTTTAGTATTAATATCAAGCAGTGTGTTGAAACCCTTTGACTCACACAATCCTAGGAAGCCCTGCCCTTGGGCTCATTCTCAGGAGTGTGTTTGGGTGGCATTATCCTTATATCACTGACCATGCCACCCGAGGTATTACAGAGGTTGTGTATATAATTAGACTAGCCAGTGTTTTCAGCAGGACAATGGAACATGTACTGCTACAGTCAACTAATTATAGATGAGGGTAGGAAAGGGCATTTTACTTGCATGCAATGTTATATTCTGTCTACAGTAACAAGAGATGTATTTGTGTCTGTCTCTGGAGATAACAAAGATATTAAAATATATTTGGCATTGATCCATGTGGATAACATTGGCTTGGATGTGCCATATTAATAGTTAAACAGAAAGGGACGCTATGGCAGGGCAGTGTGGGTAGAGTCGAGCAGTCGGAATGCATGGATAGATGTATAAATTGGAAAGGCTGACATCGGTGTGTCATTTACTGTAACTAAGTGTTCCCAGCAACCCAGTCACCTCTATAGCGAGATGACAGCCAGAGCCAAGAAATGTCTCCCATTTCCAGGCGCGTGTGTGTGTCATTCAGTGCCAATGTGTGGCCCTTTTGTTTATGAGGGAGATAAATGGTGGTTTGGCAAGATGTGGGGAGACCGATACTGAAAAATCCCGCTGTGTGTGTGTGTGTGGGAGCCATCCCCGCTACATTCCCCACTCAGTGTTATTTTTGTCCATTTCTTCCCAGTCTTTGCACTTTCCCAATATGATCAGCAGCTGCAGTCTGCGGAGGCTGTGTGACCGTCTGTGACGAGTTCTGATTTTCTTTAAATCTGTTTTCAAACTTCCCACTTTTAAGAATCTCATTGCAGTGAAATGTGTTTCGGTCAGTGACCTTATACAACCTCTCAAGCAGCGCGTGTTCTTTTGCTGAACTTGTTTTCCACACACACACTGTTGCGGTTGTAAATGATGCAAGTAATGCTATGCAGAATAGTAGCACTGTTGTTAAAATATTGCCCAAACTTGATAATTTTCTTCAGCTAAAACAGTTAGACCCGTGGGGTGCGGCTCCCCAGGGTGGTGTGGGAGAGACCCGAGTCAAAGATTCTGGATGAGGTTAAAGAGACGGGTGCATGCCGGTTTTAGTTAGCTATTGTAGTTCGGCTCGATAATTTTGCCCGTTTATCAACACGGTCAGCAGTTGGAGTTGCCTAAAGATATCACATTTTTAAGTTTTCTCCAGTATCCAAATAATACAGTAATAGTTATGTGTACATCCATGGATACATTGCCAACAGGAACTGCTAATAACTAACTGGACTTACTTTTAATGTTGCCAATTTGTCAAATCCTAACACTCTTCTATGTTAGTTTAATATCTTTGGATCTTCAGGCTGTTGGTAGAACAAAAAAGCAAACTTAATGTCTACTGTTTTTTACTATTCAGTAGTTGCGGCATTAATCATAAATATTTACTGTTGTCAGCTTTTTCAGGGTTTGTTGCATCTTTTGATAATATGGAATTGGACTGGTGACAGGTTTTATTTATTTCTGTAGATGTAGTCATAATAAAGGACACTGCAAAAATATAGACCTCGAGGGAAAACAAAACGACACATACACAACATGCTCACTCCCTAATGATAGCCGTTCATTGTTTCCTCTCTGTCAGAGTTTCCAAGGAAGGCTTCCTCTGTCTTTTCAAAAAAGAAGCTGTAGTGTCAAATGGAACAAAGGCTAATCCTTATGTCACCCTCACAGAGCAGCTGTTAGTACATGATCCTGCGCAACATCAGAACAGGACGAACCATACTGGCCACCGCTGGTCAGCCTGCATATTGTCTGTGATCTTTGGACGCTGCTGCAAAGGAGGGAGGAGATCAACCCCCAACTCCAATTATTCAGATAGTCCTTTTTTAAAGAAGATGGAAGGAAGTAGCCCATAATATACTATTCAAAATAGATCTTCTGTTTTTGTTTTGATGACATCAAGTGTATTTATAGAGAATAGGATTTTATGGAAAAGTCTTCCAAGAAAATGCCATGTCTACAATTCATTCATCAGAGCAGACAAGGCAAGTTTAGTAGTTTGTGTGTGCATATGCCTGTGTTTAATTTCTTCATTTCCCTTCCCACACAATCAGATTGCACTTTGCATATGTGGGTTATTTCCCCCTGGAAGGCTTCTGTGTGTGTGTGTGTGTGTGTGTGTGTGTGTGTGCATGTATTGGAGCTTTCTTTGAATAACGATCTGTGTTTGTGATAGGAGTTTTGCAGAACCTTTTTTAGCTTTTCAGTAAAG